CCGGATCCTTCAGAATAAGACTTTAAATATGATTTTAAGCAAGGTAAATTATAAGTTTACATTAAAAATTAGATATTTAAAACTTGATTTTTATTCGAAAACTCCTTTAAAATTGTTAATAATTTAAATAAATATCGTTATTAATAACATTTTTTGAAGAAAACAGCTTTAAAAATATATATTTTTTTAAACGTTTTTTTACAGACAGACAGCCGAACGAATCAATTGCACTTTTTTTTCTTTTTTTTTAAATTTTAATTTATAAAATTCAATTCTAATGATTCAAAATTAATTTTCATTCTTCTAAAAATAAAACTTAAAAATTATTTTAAAGCAAAGACCAATCTGTGATGATAACGAATATAATTAGAATAAAGCATTTAACATTAACGAAAAATAATTATACCGAAGTAAAAATCAATTTAAAAAATAAAAAATAAAATAAAATAAAAATTATTCGTTAAAAGTTAAAGGAATATAAATTATTATAAGTAAAATTTTACGTTAATTACGCCTGTAAATTATCTAAAATTATATTAAATTTATAAATGATTAAAGAAAAGGGAGTTAAATATGTTTCAGTTAATAATAAATCTAATTAAAATTGTAATTAAAATTATAAAAATATGATTCTGCGGATAAATCACAATAAGAGAAATAAGTATTTATTTTAAAAAATCTGTACGCCAAGTTAAAAAAAATTTTTTTTAAATTAAATATTAAATATTTTTTGAAAAATAAAAATCGCAGGTATAATTCATCTTGGACAGATGGCAGATATGAATTGTATGGATAAATGTAATTGCAAATTATGGTTAATTACGTGTAAATTATCTAAAATTATCTTAAATTATGAAAAAGAACATTTAAATATGTCAGATAATCATAAGATTTATGAAAATTCGTTATTAGTCAAAAAAATATTTTAATTAATTAATAATTCATTTAACGGTCGCTCCCATTGGACGAATATTTCGAAAAAACGGATTTTTTTCAAATTCGACCAATCGGAATGGATAAATAATAACTTTTCGACTTATAATACAATTTAAATTAAATTAAACGATATATAATTTTATAGATGCAGAAGAAGACTTTAATTATATTTTTGTAAATCTAGTAGCTAAATTTTGGCTAAAAATAAATCGTATAAAATATTATTTTTAACTTTAATTAATTTTTAAATTAAAAATTTAATCCTATTGGTCCTCTTTTTTTTGTGTGTGTGTATATTTTTTTTTCCTTTTTTAATTATATAAAACACGCAAATATTATGTTAAGTATACGTAACGTGACTGTGAACGTAACACATACACATATTTTTTAATAAGCTTTTTATGAATTATTTAATTAATGAATTGTTAAATCTTAAAGCTAATTAGTTATAGGAGAAAGAGAAAGAGACAAAAGCAGAAATTTTGGCAATCAGTTAAGAGAAGAACCAGGTCTGTACGAGGTCACAAGTTTGGAAATACTGCGTTAATTGGGGCGTGCCTGGAATAACTCCAAATTGGGTGTTACCTATCGAAAAGCTTCATTATAGTCACTACAATTGTCGTTCACGTCGAGGAGTAGAGAGTGCTTCATTTCCTCTTCCTTTTTCTTTATTGCTTCATCGTTTAACTTCAAATATATCAATTCGTAATATTACTAAACTTCCAAAACTAATATGATTCGAAACTTACACCAAATATTAATCCGAATATAATTAAAGAGGAAGATTTCAGCCTTCCTTCAATTGTTTAAATTCTCATAATATTAGAACTAGTGTCAATAAAAGTGAGATTTATAGTGAAAGAGAGAGACGTGTTTAATATATGACGTATATAACAAGTTATTAAATTCATTTATATAGCTGACATTAGATGAAGTCTATTGAAGGGGAAGTCTATATAAATTGGGGGGATTTTAGTAATTATTTTACTTTCTATAGAGAATTTTCTGTCTATGTTCGGGAATAGTTTACATTCCTAGACGTGCGTTAATTGTAAATTTAACTTTCGCATTTAGTTAAGCTATTATGTGTGTTGTACAGTTGTTGGAGTTATTATAATTTGCCTTTTATTCTGTAATTTCATTCGTGACGTTAAAACTCGAAATACTTTTATAAAAATATAAAGAATTTCTTTTAATTCTACTTCTTATACACGCTATTTATTAATTTCAATACGACAAACTTTATAATTTTTTTTTTTTTCATGCAGTTATTAATGTAGTATTCGTTATATTTTTTCTTCTATTTTTTTTAAATGCGTGTAAAATTTTACAAAAAAAAGTTATTATATTTAATTAAAAAAACATATTTTTTATAATAATTGTAACTAAAATTTTTAGATAATAACGCTAGATTTGACGAGCTATGNTATACATAATTTATATATAATTATATGTACAGACGATACTAAACTCAATTTACCCGCCTAAACTGTCCGTAGCGTGGCGCTGGACGGCGGAAAGTAGTTCGGCTGCCCGATGACGTTTTACATAATTATTGGATTTTCTTACCGTTTTTTACGGATACCGCCACAATTTTTTCGCCGTCTTATAGGAATCGTAATTATAGGAACCCGTCTTATAGGGGGATCTACTGTAATACTTTTGATAAAATCATATGCATAAGTAATTGAATATTTGTTACGAAGTGCAAGATAAAAAATAGCATTGTTTTATTAATTTTAAGACAAATCGTTATGAATTATTACATTATAATATTTTCCAATCTGTTAGGTAAAATATAGCTAAAAAATCCTACATTAAATCATATCTACAATCAGAATAGAAGCCTTTAGTAAATGGAATGAACTGGTTATAAATTTAGTAGCAATTATGAGAATTCCCATAAGAGGAAATGTAAATTCATTCTAAAGACAGGTATGTACAATTAATTTATGTTAACGTCTGACATTTTATTGAACTTGTAGAGAAAGATTGAGCTATAAAATCAATTTTAATTACTATTGCATGTAGTACAATTAGGAGCTATAATAAATCACATTCTGCATCAACAATACTTAATGTATTTATTAAAATGTTTGTAATCTGTTCTTTGTATTCTAATCAATTTTCTTTAAATGTGAACATTTTTACTGTATTTTTCTTTCATTGATCTTTTTACTTTTAACTTTTCCGGAAAAATCCATTAGTTTTTTCCTATTTACTCTCACAAAAAGTCTATCTTTCATTTTCAATAATAGAAAGAAGTCATACATAAAAAAAGAAGCCGCTCTCTTCATATTAAAAAAAACTTATTTTTGTTAAAAGCTTAAAAATATGAGTATCTTCATCCTTTTCCTAAATGACTATAGCATCATTTTCTCCCAACAGCTGATTCATTATATTTTCCTTTACCTGTTTCCTCAATCTTGGGAATTCGTCTAGAAGAAATCAATTTACAGGATGATGCCAAAATCATTATCTATTGATAATAAGGTGATTTATTTATATATTAAAATATTTATTAAAATTGTCCAATTGTTATAAGTTGCTCTTTATTTTTTTGGCTTTACTTAAATTCAAAATTCAATAAGTTTATGGAAATAACTGTCCAAATCACGAATAGCACAAGAAAATTATTAAAAATATCATAAATAATTTATTATATATTTGTATTTAATAAAAGTTACTGTATTTATTTGCTAATATTTCATTTAATTAATTCCATTGTGAGGTTATAATGTTCTATATGCTAACTCTGTAAATGTTAAGCATATACAATGCGAAACAATATGTAATCGCTTCACATTGCCTTCCTTACCTTAAAGTTACAGTTGAAAAATAGAATATATATATATATATATATATATATATTTATATATATTCTATGTATTAAAATATTTCTTCACTTCATTCGAGCAACCTTGCTGCAATTACGATTGCGTAGAAGCAGCTTGTTATTTGCATAAGTTCAATCAGTGAATCTCCAACATTTTTCTTTCGCTAACAAATCACTTTCTTGTCCAGATTTATAAAAGGGGAAGATGAAAAACTAGAAAAAAAAGAGATGGAAAGAACGAGAGAAAGAGAGAGAGAGAGAGAGAGAGAGAGAGAGAAAGAAAGAAAAAAGAGAGAGAGAGAGAGAGAGAGAGAGAGAGAAAGAAAGAAAAAAAACTAGAGGGATGGAAGTGATCAGAATCAACATCATTGTGTCAAGCGTGTAGAGCAGTCCAATTAACTTGCACTTGACAGAGTTGTTAGTGCATATGGCCCCCTGCGCAGCTCCTAACAAAGCCTTCTAATGACGCTGACTTGAACTCAATCGGAGTCCATAATTGGACGCAGGGCCACCAACGCTGTTCGCACCACTAACAAGCCGATGGCTGAGGCAGTTGCCTTCTACAGAGCAACTGACACGTCGCGGACATCACCAACCCTTACCTGCTACAGCACAACAGGTGAATCTCAAGCAGACTTATAACTGAGCACATGAGCCACATGTTCATTGTCATTAGTTCTACTTTGGTTTCGTGCTGAGTCGTACACTGTTATTAAGTTATTTTTACTCCAATGCTGTGACGAGATTGCATTTATTGAATATTTTCATAAGTGTAAAGACTAATATATATATTTATATACTACACGTTCCTAAATATAGATTATAATTTTTTTTAAATGTTTTTTTAAAATAATTTATGATTAAAATTATTTAAATCAAATTTTCTACTAACAACATAGTATTATTTATTTTTATTTTTTATAAAACTCTGTATATATTTGAATTTTAAATAGAATTATAGTGAAAATATTTATTATATTTTCTTACTCATAAGATTATTTAAAATAAAATTCAAATTTAAACATTAGAAATAATAATATAATTTAAAATTTTTTACAGATATTAAAAAAAAATTAAAAAAAGACATTTTTAGTGTTAAAATTATATTAAAATTTTATTTAGGAAATAATATATTTCCTTGTAGTTCTATGGGAAATAGGCTTATAATAGATAGTGTAAAATTAACCCAGTCTTAAATCAAGTTAAAAATAAGAACGTTCTAACTTACTTTGCCGTTGTAGAGATGACTTTTTCGACTACTGTAACTACTGTGACTACTGTTGTATTGCCTGATAGCCTAACATAAGACAAGTTGTAACAAGATTGACTTCTTCCTGTTTGAACGGTAGCTGATTATTAATGTCTCTCTCTATCTAGATTCTTACTTAACACCCATTTAATAAATCAAACTTAAATAAATCATAACTTTATACGTTCTCCATTTTTTTTTTAAATTTAAATAAATTAAATTTTTGCTTTTATATCCAAGTAAATATTGAATTTTAAAAAAATGGATTTAAAATTATAATTTTTTTTTAATGTTTAATATTTTAAAAATTCAATTATTTCATTTTTTTTGTTTATAAAATATAAATATGTTCAGAATCTTGAGAGGAGTATTTGTTATGTTTATGAAATTATCGAGTTTTATCTCTAACCGAGACTTACGATACAAGAAAAACATTTGGAGTGGTTGAAAGTGAACCAGTGTCTCTTGACAGCATCATACATTAATGCTTAAAGATACAATAAAAAACAATAATAATCCTTCTATCGATACTTAGAAGTAGGGGTTCGGTTCCTATTTAGGGGGTGGATAAAACCACTAAACACTTGGTCGTGGGCTCGTCCTTTAGCAACGTGCCGATCACGTGGAGTTTTCCGGGTTTTCTTCACGTGTCTAATATACCTAAATGGGACAGTTACCTATAGAAAATCCTCCTGGGTGCACCCCTTTATCATCCGAATCCTATTTAGGAGCAGAGATAATTTGACTATCTAGTCTTAGTTCCGTTTACTAAATGAACGTATTGATCATGTACTGATTCACATTCTTCATTCTTTAATTATTATTTATATTTTCTTAATTTAAGAAATTAATATTTTATACATAAAAAATACAAATTTATCGTGATCAGTTTGAACACATTAGTTTCAAAGCCAAAATAAAAATGGCTACCAATCCCAGCTATCCACCAATTTTACAACCTAACTCTTTCAGTTTCCAAAAAATCTCACACAGACGATACAAACGTACCGATAGACTAAGTAATTAAAAAGATTAATTTGAAAACGTTTTAACATTTAAAAAAACGCCAAAATCTTTACACACTCATAAAAAAAAAGTTTTAAAATCGACCCTTCAACAGCAGTAAACACAAAGCAAATAAACAGGAGAGGGGGGACTTATTTATCTCATCTGCTTCATTTCACATTTCGATCTTCCCTCCTGTCCGGATAAGTAAATTTTAATCTACCGTGACCTCTTAACCTCCAAACAGATTGAAAACATTGTGCAGGAATGTGATAAAAGTAAAGGAGGATGTTGTTCAGAGTCAGTTATCTGTGACAAGTCGAAGCATGTCCAGCATCTTGTCTATATATTTGGACCAAGCAACCGTCAAGTGAGAGAGAGAGAGACTTTAACATTTTGTTTATCATTCTTTCGTCCTTAATGCTTTCGGAAAGTGTTATATGCTTTTAACCCCTTAATCCAATCAACGAATGGCTAGGAATTCCTGCAGCACCTAACACATTGCTTAATTACAGACAACATTAAAGCCTTTAGGAATGTGGTGATCAATCAATTCGGATATGCGACAGTTTTGTATTTATTGTCAAGTCACATTACGACATCGGGATTAGATTGTCAATGTAATTAGGCTTAGAGAAAGATGCCTCTTTTACTTGCTAGTGCCTTTAATCAGGACGAGGAAATGGTCGATCGTTAACCAAAGCAGGAAACGAACAATCTAATGCGGTATGAGGGAAAAATTAGTTTCCTGATGTCTATAATATCGTAACATCGGTTCGTACCTCTCACTTTCTCTGACGTCACACTAGAAGAAAGTGAAAGTATTCGCTGTTTTTTCCCTCAGTTTTTTTTGACGTCACTCGAGCGAAAGTTTTAACTTTCGCTCCTCAATATGTTTATTTAAAATATTTAATTTTTAATAGAAATTTTTTTGAATATTTTAATTTAAAATTAGTAATTTTTTTTTACATAAAAAAAGAATTTATTAAGATATTAAGCTTACGCCCCGAAATCCATTATTTTTTCTACTGTTTTCTTATATCATTACTTTTTAATTTAAATAAATATATATATACATAAAGACATTCCCTAATTTCCTAACATTAACCAAAACTATGGATCACTTCCCCCTTTAACAGTGATCAATATAGAGAATTTTGATGTGAATTTCCTGCTCACTTCGGCTGTTTACTTTAATTATTTATATTATAAAAATTTAAATAGGAAATTTTAAATAGAACGACCAAGAAAATTATAGAAAATTCATTGTTAAGTAAACATAATTTAATGATGATAATGAAGTTTTGGATTTTACAGTTTGGGTATTTCAAAGCGTATCACATCCACTAACAGGAAGAAAATTCTTGATTCTAACAATGTCTACAAGCATTCCCTTCGCTTATATGAGCTACACAACAACAAAATAAATTAAGTTTTTGAGACATTAAACACAACAACTGCCTTATATATCCCTTTATAATAATATATATTTTGTCACGTGAAGCCAGGGGGTGAAGATTTCTCAACATATTTTATATTCACCCTATCTGCTCAGTATCCTTCTCTCCTCTTTCTTATCCCTTTCCAGGCTCTACCCTTAATGATAATAATTAATTTCTAATGTAGAATAAGTTGTTAATTTTTTAAATAATTAGGTATATATAAATTACAGTCATTAAGTGCAAATTTTCTTATTAAATTTCACGTGTAGATTATTGCTCCTTAATATTTTCTTGATTTTTAACAACGCCTTTAATTTCTTCTACATAATTATATATGGAAAAAGTTTAATTTGAGTAGAATATTTGATAAATTTTACATCTCCAATTTGAATTTTTTTGGTAAGGTTAAAGGTTAGGGGTAAAGGTAACCCTTTACCCCTAACCTTTGACCTTACCAAAAAAATTCTCTTCTGCCTTTCTAGATATTGTTAAGTGTAGATTTTTTTTATAAATAGCATTATTTTAAATGTTTTAAATTTCTTTAAAGAAATGTTGAATTTTAATACATCTTAATTCGATTCTATGGTCAAAGTTACAATTAATTTTATAATCTTACACTGGAAAGAGGAAAAAAATCCTTCGGTTCATTTATAAAAATTCCTTAGATTTTCACTCCAGATTACAGAAAATAATTAAAAATTTAGAAAAATATCCAAAGATACAAGATTCTTTTCCATCCATTTCACGTTTTCATATCAGGAGATTTAAAGAAAAAAGAAAGAAAATAACGAATAAAATCACAGATCGTCCAATAGTTTTTGGTTCAATTCAATAAAATAACAAGAAGAAAAAGAAGAAGGGGGAAAAAAATCCCCAAATACCTGATGAAAATAAAAGCAACGACTTTTAAAGACATTGGAAATCCTTACAAGCAATATAAAAGTAAAGGAAATAGCTAAGGTAAAAATTACAGCTTTGATGTAACTGGTTCGCGTTAGATGTGGATAGAGCCAGAGGCATGATCAATAAAGTGGACCGAGGGAATGATCCTGGGAAACATACAGGCAAAGAAAAGGTCCTGTTGTTGTAACAGTCACGTGCTATTCCCTCTAATGCCAAAATGATGAACGTCTATAGCTTCCATTTTATAGTTGGTATCCCTAGAGATCCCTTCGGAGCAACTTTGCAATATAACGTGAAAATACCACCTCTTGTCAACGTATGATTTGTACTTCTAATGTTAGAGAGAGTTATCCTTAATGTTTGGTGATTTCCCACGAGGTGTGATGTACACATGAACACGGTTTGTGCAATCGATTGTACAAATGATTATCGTTATAATCAATTAGCTATCTGTTGACTTTTCTGTTAAGCTGTTAAATGATATATCCTTTTCTATTATTTTATTCATTAAATTAATATTATTTAAAAATCTTTATAATAATAAGAGGAAAAAAATGGGTATAAACTTATACTTGAAAGCGATATCGTGTCAAACAATCGCATCAGTCAAATGCCTAGAAGAATTCTCTTCGTTATGATATCATTAATCAGGATAGAAGTCCGATTTCTCTAGGCTTTCAACCTCGATTAAATTTATTTCTAACGGATCTTTTGATTTTTTTTCTAACGTTAGAACATTATCCTTTCGATATTTTTATGGATTTATTCAATAAAAACGCTATATAGTTTCTAAAATAACTCTTATTATTTAACCACTACGTTTTCTAGCTATACAAAATGTTATTTTAGATGTCTAAAAAAATGTAAATTTATCATTAAAAATATCTATTTTGTAGGCTCGATATTTTTATTTTATTTTCAACCGGTTTCCATTCAGTTTAATATAAAAAAATGGGAGCGTAACTTATAAAATATATTATTTTTTTTCTCCTTCTTTTCTTATATTTTCAATATAAAAACGATATTGCATTTCCAAAAAATGTATTTTACTTTTGGATAAAGAATATTTTCTGATGAAGAAAAAGCGTAGAACCGAGATATTTACACCCTCGAGGAGAAGAGAAATTCTCAGTTTATTTTTTTTGGATAGGGTCTAAGAACATGATACTTTCATCGTTTCCTAATCCCTTATAAAAATCACGATACTTTTATATTTAAAGCTATCTCACCCTACTTATATTTTATCATCTCAATTTTGAAAATCCAGAGAACGTTCTATAAGGAAAAACACTTAAACTACATTAATGCCATATGTAAAAATAACCTCGTTAAACATACTTAATCGATTATCCTTGTGATATATTTTCAAATGAAACATATTCATCAGTTAAATAAGAAGAAAAACCCTAACGACAAAGAGTTCCTTACACAACTGACGGTGCGTAAATTCCTGACAATTGCCAAAACACAATTGACAAGAGCAATCCTACACTCATCTTATCGCCAGATAACATATTTAATATCCGTTTCTCCTTGGCTAAAGAATAAAAACTAGAGAAAAAAAAGCATAAAAGAAAATCATTTATCTAAGTTGCAACTCTCAGTCAGGGTATATTTGACAGGAAATGACATGACCAAAGACAGGCATCCGTTCCATTCATTGCAGCAGGGACTTAATTTCCTGAACAGCATCTTATGTATAATACTAAGCTTTAGCTTTTGTGATGTAGTAAAATGCATATTGGTTAAAACCTGAGCTGGCTCATCACCCCGGGCATTTGACGTGATTGTAACGTACTGTATATATAATATTACAACTACGAACGGAGGGGTGAATTTTAGAGCGAATTATTTTTCCAATCACGCGTGTATAACTTAAAAATAAATCAGCGAATATTTAGTTTGGTCATAAAACAAGCTAATACGTGTATTTTTACGAGATTTACTCGACTGCTTCCACTATTGCAAAGCGAGGACATCAAACGACTATAAGATATTATTCAATTTAAACTCGACTTTTATATGATTGTCCTTACGTTGTATGAGATCTTTGACATAAATTGCATCGTATTATACGATAACTTAAACATAAAATATTAAATTTTAAGACGTTTAGACGAACGTAAATTATAAAAAAAAAAATCAAAAATTCAACAGAAAATATCAAGTAATTTTGAACGGAAAAATTTATTGTTTACAATATAAATACAGTCTCTAGAAGTAGTTTAAGCTAAACACTTTTTTTTTTATCTGGTTGCTTTTTTTTGGTTTCTTTTAAATATAGAGAAAATTACAGACAAAAATCACATAGAAACCAGATGATTACTTCTACTGTTGTTTTTTTTTTTTTGTTTTCAGTCCATATGACTTACTTGTATAGTCCATGAATGGGTACAAGTCCATCCCAATTCATCTTGGCCTAGAACTAGTTCCTGGGCAAAAGAAACACTACCCGAAAATGCGATATTCCTGTATATTTTTTTTTAATTGTATTTTTACCGTCCATCGTATGGTGAATCTCCACTTCCATATCCACTCGATCTGTCGTCTCTTATACCACCTTCCAGCTCCTGGGTTTGTCGCTTTAGATGAGCTAAATTGTTATAAGTGTATGGCATGGCAGCAAAGAGCAATCTCTCTTCGTAGTCGTACTCGCACAAGATTTTATTATCGTATAAATAAAATCTGTCGCCGATGCAAAACCTGTTGACGGAATTAAAATCAGTTAGGAAGGGAAAAAAAATTTTCTTAAAAAATAAAATGCCAAAATTTTTTAGAGAAATTCTGCTGTAATTGAGGAGTACCTGTGGTTGCATTGCTGACAAGCAAAGCATTCTAAATGATAAACGTTTCCTCGAGCCCTCATGACCATTTCAAAGGCTGGAATTGTTTTGTTGCAAGCTGAACAAAGGCCTGTTGTGCCAAAGAGTCTGGAAATATGCTTTGCATTTTACAAACCTGTCGAAAATCAAGGAATTTTTCTATTAGATTGCCACCTGTACTGGATCTCTTACTTCTGAGGGAAGTAACTTAGAGAAATTATTTCTGTTTTGTTTTTGTTTTTCGTTACTTAAAATTCAAATATTTAGGCAAACTTTAAAGACTTAAAACATGTTTTTTTTTAGGATTTAAAGGCGCGATTTTTTTTAATTAGAAGTGTTTGTACTTAAAGTTTAAAGGGGGGTATTTCAGAGATGTTTGTGCTTAAAGGTATTTAGAGTTATAAATAAATAAAATAATTAAATAAAAACATAAAAGTATGCTAATTTTTTTTACGTGAAGAAGAATTATTTGCCTGTATTTTGTGTAAAGTAAAGGAAGCAAAATTAATTTAAAAAATAAACAAAAAAGCTGAAAATTAGAACAGTAAACGCGAAATAAAAGCTAATTCAATAGAAGAAAATAAAATTTAGCAGAAAATTATTCATAAAAATTAGAAAAAGTAGAAAGATTACCATAATTTACAAGCTATAAAATTAAAAACAACGTAATACACTCGTACAAAATTATTATAGCATACATTTCTTGTGTATTAAAAGCAAAGAATACTGTAAGAAAATTTGCTTTATTTAATAAGAAAACAAAGTTTTAAATACACTTTCCTTTAATAGAAGAAAAAAGTTTAAGTAGAAGCCAACAATAACCAATATATACGCCCTGTACCCTGTATACAGCACGTAAAGGTGGCAATCCCAACAAGAGCACCTGTAGATAGCACTCACCTGAGGTAGTCTCTCTTACATAGAATGAGATTGGCCTTTGTGAATAGAGTCGATCCCACTTCTCCGAGTCTGCAGTCGCAGCAGGCACACTTGAGACAATCTTCGTGCCATAACTGATCCAGTGCCTTCAATAAGTACCTTTCACGAATTGGCTTCTGACATCCTGAACATTCTGGTCCACGAGTTGCAGAAGGGATGTTATCTGTATTACTAGTAGCTTGTATCGTAGAAGTCCGGTGAGTCTGAGCAGTTACTTCCATTTTTATTTAAACTGAAAGTATATAAATTCATTTTCTGAATTGTCCATTTATAAAAATGAAAAAAAAAGAATATTTATATGTAAATTCGAGCGCGCGGCTTATAACAATGCAATTGACAGAGAATTTACGTCCGTTCATGCGACTTAAGACTTTTAATCTATAGAATTTTATAATCTTTAATAAAATTAATAAAGATCCAAGCAAATTCCAGTCATTTTTTTCCGCTTAAATAGCTAAAATTTCACCTCCTCCGACTAAATTTCAACATAAAAGTTTTAAGCTTCCCATTAAAACTAAGCTACTTCTAAGTGAATTTATGTAAATCTGTTAATCTTCACGCAGTTAATTTAATCGATTTCGGGATATTTAACCAATTAATTCGTTTTTAAACAAAAATTTTTATTAAAATATTGAATAAATCCACCAATTTTCAAGCCTCTCCCTCTAGAAACGACAAATTATCAATACCAGAAAAAAAAATTACTCCTCTCTATTCGATAAACTTTAAAACCGTATCAAAAACAAAGAAAATTAATAAGAAAATCTACAAATATTCCAAAGAAAAAATAAAAAAAAAAATACAAATTTACTAAGTAAATTTGCCCAATTTAATCCCGTCATCGACTTCCTGCAACTCGCATGTAACAAGCTACACCAGTTAAACAAAGTTATCATTATTATTAATTTTTCTCTCTCATTTTTTAAATAAATTAACCCAACCANAAATGGCACGCGCCTAATAAAAAAAAATTATGTAAATAAAAACTAGAAAAGGAGAGGAAAAAAATAATATTTTATAATTAAAGTAATGATGATGACGATAATAATAATATAAATAGAGAAATTCTTGGAAAGAAACAGATCAAACAATAGTAAATTGACATGTAACAAGCTACACCAGTTAAACAAAGTTATCATTATTATTAATTTTTCTCTCTCATTTTTTAAATAAATTAACCCAACCAAAGTTTAAAATAAAAAAAAAACTATATATAGATGATTCCGCCCATCAAATTGGGCGGATCCTCGAGTTATTCGATTATTTAATTATTTAAGAAAAACTAAAAAAAAAAAAAAATCAAGAAAATTTCTACGTATGTGAGAACAGTTTAAATTACTCGGTATCATAAATTATCTTTCTGAAACTTGCCATTATCGATTCATACCAAGGATGAAAAAACTGAGGGGTGGTTTGAAAATAAAAGAAGATTTAGGAAAAAAAAAGAGGCAAAGATATATTCCACAAAAGGCATAATTAACGTTAAATCACTCTTGAGAAACGATCTAAATTTCGAACCGTTTCCTCATTTACAAATTGTCCAATTCTCCATTAATTTCTTCCATTATGTAAAGTCCTGGCTCCTAAAAAAGGGGGGAAAGAAACAGAAAGTAAATGAAGAAAAGCAGTAAAAAAAATTATATAATTTGCCTTTCAATCCCATTCGGTATTCAAGAATCCATTTGTGTGTCGAGTTCTTAAAAAAAATGTAACGGAAAAAAAAGGAAAGAAATTCCTTTTTTTTTTTTTTGTTTTCTCTCCTTCTAAAAAATCGGATTAACAGATTAAAAGATTTAATTCGTGTTTAATAAATTTATTTAAGTATTTTTTTTTTCTTTTTTTAAATTATAACACTCGGATATTTATTTTAATTCATTTTAAGGCGTTAAAATTCATTTATAATCGAGTAAAATCGGCCGGCGACGAGAATTTTATCACCTTTCTGTTTAAGTTTAAACGGAGAAAAAGTATAATAAATATCAAAATTTTAGACTTTTCCGGAAGTATTTCTGTTCTTTTCTTTGAAAAAAAGGAGAAAAAATAGTTTCGCATCATTGGAAAAGTACCAATTCGACGAGTATCTCTTCTCGAAACTAGTGGATCTAACGAGCTGATTGTCGTTCTAGTCGCGTAATTTGCTCCGTCCAAAAGTTAAAAATAAAAATAGAAAAAAATAAAATGTTTCTTGATGGTGCTACAACTCTTCCCGAAACAAAACAACAATCAACTATCGATTCCACAAAGTCATAACCGGTTATTAATATACCGTAACGATACAGAGAAACTTTTTTAGTAGCTTCAACTTCCATCACAGAACTCATCATTTCAGTAGATAAAACCGGGCCGAATCCCGGCATTTTTGGGAGTTAAAAACTCCTCAAATTTGCTAAATTTGATCGGTTTTACGTGCGGACGGCATAATTAAACATTCTGGCGATTTCCGAATTAAATTAGGATCCAGAAATCCCGAAAAAAACCATCCAAAAAAATAAAAGAGCTCTTCAAGAAGCGCTACCTCGGTAATTTCGGAGTTAAAATCTCCTCCGCCCAATGTAACATTAATGTTTAAAAACTATCGAGTTGCTTTTAAAAATGCTAATCGATTGAAAGATTTAGAGAAGGGGGATAGAAGTCGAAGGGGGCAGAAGAAAGTGTAGGAAAGAAGGGAGAAGCGGCCATTATGGTGTTATTTTTCGTCTTGGTAATTAGATTAAGTCGTTTAGAGAGAGAAGCTGGATACTTCTACAAACAGACAAGTTAAAGCTTATTGCATTACCGATCGATGATCGATCGAGAATATATGTAATACAAAATTATCTCCTGGGAGTGATGACGTTATGCCTCTGTAACAATTTCGCACTCGGTGCCATTGTTTCTCCTTACCAATTTCCATTTTATCCTCAACTGAAAAGGAAAATGTTAAAATTGAAAAGTGTGGATCTCAATTCGCTTTCGGATCCATCCAGAATTTCTATAAGATAGAAAACTTGGCTTCAGAAGGATTTTTTCCCTTTTTTTTAGAGGCGAAAGTGCTGATAATTAACAACTATTTTGGTGATATTTTGAGTTACCCCACCCAAAAAAAAGGCTCCGCAAAATTCAATCTACGGGACTTCAGGGGGAATTATTAATGGTTCTGGTAGTAAATGATTTATTTTGATTTTTCAGTGATTTTTTTTAGAAATTGATGGCAGTTCAGAGGAGCGAGAGATCAAGATATTCCTCTACGCCATTGATAAGAGTTTACTATTAAAAATCTACTTTAGATCTATCAATGGCGCTTCAAAGCATATAACGAGACGACATAAAAGAATAAAAAAAAAGTATTTTATAACGATTCTAAGAAGGTAGAAAATGTTAAAAAGTGCATTTATCTACGCAGAATACTTGCCTATTATTAATTTAAATCGGTTCTTTTAATCAGGATTTCAAATTAGACCACAAGAATTATTTAAATTTGGGTGGAAATTGTTAATAAATAAATTAATTCGAAATTTTTAAATAAATTGTAAAAAAGTGATAAATAAATAAATAATAAATGCAATTAAAACATAATTTTTGGTCTTTTTAACGAGAGAAACATAAAAAAATTCGAATTAGAGTAGGTGATACGAAGGATCAAAATGATCAAAATCCAAAAATGGCACGCGCCTAATAAAAAAAAATTATGTAAATAAAAACTAGAAAAGGAGAGGAAAAAAATAATATTTTATAATTAAAGTAATGATGATGACGATAATAATAATATAAATAGAGAAATTCTTGGAAAGAAACAGATCAAACAATAGTAAATTGAATTAGGGTGTATGTGCGCTTCTGGCTTCAACTGTGTAGCCCCACAACTCACTAACAAGAGGTTTGTCAGCGACAAAATGCAAGTCAGCTATTGCCGACTAAAAGCAGAGAGCAGAAACGGGGTGCTCTCTTAAGTGCAGCGAATACAGGCTACTTCACAAGCATCCAACTCGAGACACGACGTCACTTCAAATGCGGCTTGTGCTGCGGTCGGAGCTGAGTGAGGGGATGGCGTAAATTGCATTAGTATCACTAATGGAGACATCTCGTTAAATGCGGAGCTGGGCACTAGTGGATCGGTTGCCTTGGTAACCGTTAGAAGTGGGGGGCAACAGAATCGAGCGGACTATAGGTGAGTGCCGCTTGCACTTTGCTAAGGCTAGCTGTGGGAATTGTGAAGTTAATTGGACTGGCTGTGTCACCAACTTTTACCTTTTCATCCTCTACTCTACTCCCCCCTTCTCGTTTCTGCTTCTTTTTGGCTTATTTCTAAATATTTATACGAATTTTTCCACTCGCGATTTTCGATATTTTCGCGTTGCAATGGGTGGAATCACGATTGGAACCTATACGATCGTGCCCGAAATTTCGCCTATTTTTCACCAAAACCTGCAAAAAAAATCGATTAACGCATTGCTTATTCGAAGAATTTTCGAAAAAAAAACTCGTCGATAGATTCTAATTACGTCATTCTCGTTAAATCTGACATAAAATGGCGTTAATGAGAGGAAAAACGAGATGAGGAATCGCTCTTCACGCAGAAATCTTCCCGTTCCTAACGTATGCCCCTATCGAATTTTAAAATATATTTCTCCTTCGATTCAATGTCATACGATAACGTAATTTCGATACAGGACCTTTCCGATAAAAGACACACACATAAAAACATAACAAACAAACAAAAATATTATTTGTAAACGTACAAAAATGGCGGATGGTTATTTTTAATATCGGAAAAATTGGATAAAAATATCTACTCACTTTTAACCTTTATCGATGAATTGTCAGTAGAAGCGATATCAATACTCCATGATTGACACTAAACAATCCATCCGCTAACCGTGTCCCAGTTGTTGCCAAAATGCATCTATAGCCATCCTGTAATTTTACAATTTTTCCCTATTTTACACGACTGTACGTCTTAAACAATAATTCATAATCCAAAATGGATCACGGGCTTTAAACCAGAGATAAAAAATAACAGGATATATATTTATATATATATTTTTTTCAATCACGGAAGATCAAACGTCGTCTTTCCCTTCTCCACTTCTACATCTAAGTACGTCACTAGCTCGTCTTCGTCATATAACGGGAAGCCAACTCGACTGAGCATGCCTCTATAAACGTCACGCCGATGACGTCAGCCACGTGATCGTGACGAAACGAGATGACAGTTCCGGCAAACTTGATGACGTCACGCAAACATGGCCGACTGATCGATTTCGTTTTGGGGTCAAGTTTTTTTTTTATGTTTTGTTTTGTTTTCAGTTTCGATTTTATTGTGTCACAAGGACTCTTTTATTATTGTTTTAATTCTGATATTTTTGTAATTTAATTTATTTTTCATTTAAAAAAGAATATGATTTACAGTAAATGGAATTTGTTAAATTGTTTTTGAATAGTAAAAAAAAAACCTAATTTTGTAAGTTTTCTTCTTTTGATACATTGTTTACAACTGTTTGTTTGCTTTATAAAATAATAAAAAAAAGTATCGAAGTAGTTTAATAATTAATTCTTTTATACTGGAAGATAAAAAAATTAATTAATCGACAAAATAATAATTTCATATTTTAACATTTTTTCGCTTTCTACTATAAATTACAATTCATTTTCTATCATTTTACAACCCCTCTACCTTGCATAAGTATACATTTTATCATTAATCTTACATTAAGCACTATATAATTAACATTATAGCCTTCGGCATTGAATTTAATTACCATTTTTCGATTATGGCACCCTCATTATCACTTCTATGTGTCCACACTCCTCTACTGAATCACGCATAACTCTTTCAGAAAGAATAAAAAATATATATAATAAATGCCAACTTTTACATCTCTTAATTTCCTTTTAAGATATTAAATTATAATTTTTTTAATATATTTTTTTTCAAGATGGCTTCGATTTTATAGTTTTACTCTTCACTGACTTGTATCTATTTCATGAACTATAAACCGATAACCCACAGAAATTTTTCATGGGCGGTGTGTCCTGAATATGTCGGGCCCTTCCTTTACCGCCTGATCACTCCCACTGTGGGCCTGGACTAAATGGTTCCGTGGGATTCGGCAACGCAACATGTGTGCGCTCTGCCAAGGGGAAATGCCTCCCAGGATGGCATTTTCTATGGAAAACTGTCCCCTATTTACGTGAAGAAAACCGGGAAAATCCACGGAATCAGGCACACGAACCCGAGTCTAACTAACCACCATATTTATGGCCTAACCCGTGATGGGTATGATTAAAAGGGCCCTCTTTAATGCCCGTAGGAAAGAGCAAAAAAAAAAAAATCCACGCTTTGGAATTGGAAACCAAATTTTAAATTATATTTATTTAATGACATAACAAATGGCTCCAAACTCAGTTTTAAATGTTTTTGTTGGGAAAGTTAAGCAACTCGTTTCTGAATTTTTAACTGTGTATTTCATATAGACCGATTATACATAGAAATTGANATCACGTGATTAATTACTTACATTAACGGACAGAATCATAATTATGGAACCCAATATTTTTTCGTTAATTATGAGGAATGTAGTCCTTAAGGATATTTTAGCTGTGTAATATTTTAGATGATTTATAATAATTGTTTTATGGGAACTGTGGTTTGTTTCATAATAAAGCAATCGAAGGGCTACACTTCTTGCTCTTCTGCCCTCATAAACAATAGGAGGTGACATTTAAGACTTACAACTAATCAACAAGCTTTTCAGCAGCATCTGGACTTTGTTTCGCTCCTACACTTGATTGTTCCTTTGATAAACAGCTCGTCCCTTAATATAATTAAGCGAATTAAAATTAATTTGTAAAGCTATAATAACATTTAATTATTTTTATTTAATTATAATAAAATTATATCGTTTACTCGTTAAGTAATTAATTTATATATTTATAAAAATAATAAAAGAAAAAAAAAATAATGTGATAACAACACACTAGTTACAATACCTTCCACAGCGCCATCCGGTGATGATTTAGATAACTGTTTTTTTTTTTCTTTCTTTAAAAAATTGTTTTAAATTAAAATTATTTTATTCAATTACTTAAAACTTTACAAAGATTAACTTATAATTAGTTTAATTTGTATTTTATCATAAATTACAGCCGTATTTTTGTACTTTTAAGAGTAAAACCGTAAGTTTATTGTAAGTGTTTCACCAGTTTGGTTCGTTGGTGAAGCCTTCCCCCCAAAAAAATAAATAAAAAAAAATTGGGGTGGGCATTCCGACATGCAAACCGCGTTAAATCATAAAGTTTTAACAGGCAAAAACCACGTGGAACCTTATCCAGGAGGGGCTTTCAACTGCAAATGCTTTGGACTTCAGCAAAAGGAGCGTTGAAATGATTGCACTTTCCAAAATGTCACGTGATACAAACACTAATGGAGCACTTTGCCAAATCTATGGCTAACATTTAACTGTAGGTTACAGTTTAAGTGTGTATATAGTTTATACCTCTTCTAACAGTTCAAACTCCTAAAGTAAACGTCTTTCGAAACTTCCCCAAGAGGATAGGAAAGCTTTTAAAGCTCATGAATTTTTCTGTTGACCGCGACACGACTTTTCTTTTTTTCTTTTTTTATTTTTTGGATTGACCAATGAGACATATATATATATACACACACGTTACACATAAACCATTTAAAATATATATTATTTAAATGATATTATTTTTTTTTTGGTTGTTTACCTCATCTTTGGAACGCCATGTTTTATTTTTGTTTTTTTTTTTTTTAAAGGAAAATTTTCTAAAATTTATAGAAATTAGTTTGAATTTTTCAATGGAGTATTAAATTTTTTAAAAGAAAAAGTTTTGAGTGACAATACACAGACAAAAATACAGAAAATATCGTATTTTTTAAAGTGATATTTAAATTTTATGTCTATAAAATTGTAACGGTTATCTGTATTTGAAATTGATAATAATGCGTTAATTGGTCAAGTGGTTGTCACTTACAAGTATTTCTCTCATCTAATTGGTTCGTAAATTTTTAAAAAATAGATGCATTAGTGTTCGTGTCACGTGGTACATTTTTTGGAAGCATCACGTGATATGAGCACTAATGGACTTTATATAAACACAATTTATGGAATTTTTGGCAAGTTAAACACCTTTTTTCGTTATTTTTATATAAATATTATCGTTTTATAAGTAATTTTTATATACAGTAATCTATTTTGCTGTATTCCCCAACGTATGTGTTTATTGGTACGTATTTTCTCTAGATTTTTTTTAAAATGAAAACGTGTATAAGCTTAGAATATTCTTAAAGAAATGTGTATCGAATGCCTCCTCTAAAGGAAAACCACGTAACAATAGATTAGCAATGCTAATGGATATAATATTCTGACAATCAATATTCTCTATGGATACACATCAGCATAGTCGCTCTCGCTAAATACCTTATCAGTGTCGGTAGGATATCGACATTACACAACCATTCCAAGAATAATATGACACATATTACCTTTTCTAACAGTTATAAAAGAATATTCATCACCGAATCTAAGTATCCACCTGAAAACAATTTCCGTTTCTCGTTAAAGTATCTTCAGAAAAAATTGTGTATATATATATAAAATACCTCTTCAATTATTCTTTATTTATAACCAATGATTTTAATCTAAAGTAGAATTTCGAGCTACTAAACTGGTGTACAATTTTTTTTTAAGTTTCTATATTATTTGGATGGACAAGAGAGTGGGAAGCAGCCAATATTACCGAGAGTGACAATAGAAATGAGGCAACTGTCGCACAGGACTTGACATCTGTACAGATATGACGCTATGTTGGTCAGATGGAGAGTGACGGGTAAGCCTTGCTAAAAGCACTGTCCATTACCCTGTGGTACCCGGACCTGTATACTAGAGCCTCTAGGGAACTTCACTAATGGAGTACCATCTTCTAGAGGGTTACTCTCCCCCCTTCCATCAGAACAAGCGGAATGGATCATATGTCCGAATCGAAAATAGTGATTACTAGTATTGTCGGTATTCAGTTGGGTTTGCAGATTGATTTTTTTTTTCTCTCCCTCTTTCTCCTCTTTATTTTTCCTCTTAAAAAAAAAGAAATCTATTTTATGATATAGTTAAATTTATCTTGTACCTCAGATTACTCTTCCCTCCCCCCTATTTTTTTTATATTTTTTATTGTCAATATTTCCTCGTCTCGTCTGTCATTCTTCCTCCTTTTATAAATTAATTTTACTCCCGAAACGGTGGATGGATCTTTCAAGTTTATAATAATTTAAATTCTCTCGGTGGTCCTTTACATCCACTTTTTATCCATTAGAACGATCTTTTCTTCTACTTGGCTGTACATCTTCATTTTTCTGTCGACTCTGTCCATTCGAAGATGGATAAAAGGGTAATAAATCTGAAAATTGTCGCTTCATATGAAACATTTTCTTGACTTTATTCTATTTTATATAAGTTTAAAATATTTTTAGAATCGTGGTTTAAACATTTTTTTTTGTTTTTTGGATTTATTTATTTAATTTTTAAATTTGAAATTTATCGGGTTTAAATCTGTAATATTATTTGAACTTTATAAATTATCAGTTTAAACTGTAACTTGATCGTCTTCATTACGTATCGATTGTCTATTGTAATGATCTCTCAAATGTTAATAATTTATCAAATTTCGTGATATTCGATCCTGTAAAAGAATTTTTAAAAAATTTCACAGTTGAGTTTTATATATTTTTAAGCTAATAATTTGCTCCTTTCTAACCATCCATTCAGAAAACCTAGCTATACTTTAATAGATTTGACCCTATTACGTGGAAGGATTTCGGCCCTATTTACCCTTGCGTGGAGGGATTTTGGCCCTATCTGTCTTTACCTACAGGGATTTTGGCCCTATCTATCTTTACATGGAAAGATTTTAGTCCTGCCTAACCATCTATTATAGTACACTTGACCCTGCTAACCACATATCTTCATGCGAGGTCATTCCTGTTTAACTTGCTATTGTAATACAATTTATCAAATTTCATGACAATCAATCCCACAAATAAACTTTTAAAAAAATTTCACAGTTGAGTTTTATATATTTTTAAGCTAATAATTTGC